AACCCGGCCCCCGGCTCAAAAAGGTTGCCTACCCCTGCTCTAGGGACTCAGTACAAAATTATATTAGTCCATCATGTTTGTGTTCAAGTCCATTTATCTATTTCTGTAACGTGGTGGTGGAAATCATGTGGCCCTTCAGAAGTTGGGCTGCAACTCGCAGCATTCCCACAGTTGACTGTATTAGCTAGTGCTGCTGGGGCTGACATTCATCAGCATCTGTATGGCTGCATGATTTGCTCCTCTTCTGTAATCTAACAAAACAGGACTTTCTTCCAATTCTTGATTTTCTAGCTCACCCTCCCACATTAATATCAATTTTTACCCACCATTTAAAAATTATGATCTTCAGCTTTTAATCACCTATAATTTTAATTATCATTGTTATTCAAGCCATTTTATTTGAAATAAACCTATATTCCAGTACTACTAAAGTTTTTGTTGGCATTGCTTTTGTTTCTTTTTCTAGCTGGATAATAGGATGTCTGGGAAGAAAGATATTTTAAAAATGTTTTTTCCTTCACTGTAAAAACAAGAGATGTAATTTTTTAAACCCCTGCTTCATTCCTGGGCTGATGCCTTCCTGTGCGCCATGTGCCCAGTGCCAAAATGCCTGATCTATAATCCAGTATTCTCATATTATTTACAGATGATACCATCATCTCTTCTCTCATGTTATTTCTTTCTTTTATTTTATTTCTATCCTGCCTTTCTCTTGGCATGGGAGCCAAGATGTCTTACAACATAGATTAAACCAAAGCACAGCTAAAATCCTAATAATAAAACAATTTAAAACCATTAAACAAGCAACCCTTTTAAAAAAACACTAATTTAGGACACATTTAAAACATAGTAATTAAGACAAAAGTACAGCATGCCCCATTAAAAGAGCTTTGTGGCACAACCAGTTTACAGTCAAAGAGCTGTCTCTGAGCAGAACCTGGATCAGTTCCTGGGCTGGTGTGGGGATGGGATGGTGTTTACATGCCTGTCCATTCCTGTGCTATGGACCTGGTACTGCCACACAGTCCCTTACCTCTGTCCACCACTAGCACTAGTGAGAAGACCCCCATCACAATGTCTGATGTGGAAATGTACTTGGCTGCACCCACTTGGCCAAGCACCCCATTTCTACATCAGATATGGTGATGGGGTCTTCCCACTAGGGGCAATGGCAGAAGGAGGTAAGGGTTGAAATGTGAAGGCCTGGGAAAAATTCAGAAAAAAAACAGTTTCCCCCAGTTTTTCCCCTGAAGCTTTTTTTTTTTTAATTTTTTTCCAAAAAAAAAAAAAATGGAAAAAAGGAAGAAAACCAATACAGAATGTTTTATTTTATCACGTTGAATAAAATCTTTAAGAGAAAGTATTCCTGCATTCTTCAAATCATTTCTAGAAATGATGTACAGTATCTGATTATTCTAAGTTCTGTGCACTAAGTGAGGACAAGCAAGTCCTAGGTTAAAAACTGAACTCTCCGGTGCATCTGAAGAAATAGATTTGTCTAGCTCATGCTGCCAACCATTTTCTTTCAGTTAGTTTCAAAGGTGATACAAGATCTCTCTACATACTGATTTTACAGACTAATATGGCTATATTTTTGAACTCTCCAATGCAAGAGTAAGATATATATTTTTTCCTTTGGGGGCACTGCTATTGTCACAAGAGAAGAAAAAGGTTTCACTTCTATTTTTGCTTGTGGGTGGGTCTGTTTGACAGCACTGCTACTGCATTTGACTGGGTTACCAAACAAGCATCACACTTTGGACTTGATACTGGGAAGGTACTTTCAAATGTTGCAGAATATAGAACATTTTCAGGGATTTGATCCAGGAATGCAGTCTGGGATTCTGCCAAACATCCCTCCTGCAACATGTGGCAAGGTCTTTGCACAACTCAGCCTCTGACTCCTTTTGCTTCTTGCCTTCTTCAGATTCCTCCATCTTCTGCAGCATGTGAAAGAATCTGCTCTATGTTTGGAAACACACCAAATCAAGAAATAAACTGACATGTGAAAGGGTAGAGAAGCTTCTTTCAATCTGGCTAAACCTTTGGTTTTTAAACGTCCATGATATCTGTGATGATGACAAACATAATGAAGCAGAAACAGAAATTGATACTGATAACTATAGCTCAGAAAATGAGTCTGATTAAATTTCATGCCTATGCACTGAATCTTAGGGCCTGTACAGACCGGCCAAAAGGGCTGGCCTGGGGGTGGAGTTGGGGCAGGATGATCGCATGCTGGCTGCCCCGACTCCACACCGCCACCATCGTCACGCTGCACACCCCACCCCATGGTACGCAGCATCAGGGCACTCCCTTGGCGCAACGTTTAGACCCTGAACCAAAGGAGTGCAGAAGAGCCATGGCAGTGGCAGTAAGGGCAGCTTTTTGCTGCTCCAAAAAGGAGCGGCATTTGCTAGCTCTTTTTGGAGTGGAAACTGCCAGATCAGGGCCATGGCATACGGTTGCTGCGGCTCCGATCTGGCGCTCCAAGGGGCAGAATGCAGCCGCCCTTTAAGAGCCGTCTGTATGGCCCTTAGTCTCTCCTCTCTTCCACATATTCCCCCCTCCCCAATTGTTTTTTTTTTCCTGAGAATAGTTGCTTTATATTTCTTCTCTAGTGGAGAAGAAATATAAATTTTCTTTGTTACTAATGTTGATAGTTTCTTTGCTCCATGTAAGCTAGGAAAACCAATGAGATCAGGAGATTACTGCTCCATTTGTTGC